ATACTTAAAGAAGATTTGTAAGATGAGGACAGRCCTTTTTAGCAAGGCATGTTGTGACAGGACAAGGGGTGATGGYTTCAAAACTCAAAAGACAATAGATTTAGACCAGATATAARGTAGATCATTTTCTCAATGAGGACAGTCCAGTAAACTGACTGAAGATTGGAGGAGAGGCTGGTCTATTTTGACTTTATTCAGTCTGGTGCAGCATCTAAATGACCTTCACAGTTCATCTTACATCAAAGATCCCATACAGGTTCCATGGSTTCATAACTGAACTCAAACTCCAAATCTCATTCCATTATTTTAACACTAACCCATCCCTCCCACTCCTTACAGCTACACTTCTAAGGAATCACTGCTGTCAAGAGAGGATGAGACATTAAGAGCATAACACAGCCATCAGATCAGACCCTGAAGGGACAGGGATGCTAACTTACCTTTGTTCTCKCATGCTGGTTAACATATTTACTATGTTCCTCATTTTCAGCTAACTTCAGCTAAGTCACTCAGTCCACTGTACTTCCTTTTCAAAGTACCAGCAGTCAAACCTGAGCACATCATTTTATCTCTCAGTCAGTAAATTCAAACCATTTAAAACATCCTGCTTTCATCTTTATAGTTCTCTCCCACTTTTTAACCATGCTGCAGTTACAGAAGAATGTACTTGACATATAAAATGTGCATGTGATTCCTCCAACATTTTAATGCTGTGTATTGTGTTGTAAACATCTCTTCATGTTTTATCTCCTTCTCCATAAATCAGAGGTGACTATCTTAGAAGTCTCAAATATAAATGTAAGGCTCCACTCCCTGAAACTTGAGTGAGCTTTCAAAAATCATCAAAAGCCAGAGCTATGAAAAAGTGAAAGATTATCAACTAAATAAATACAATTTTCTCCCACTCCATTTCTATGACAGCCTGGACTATGGGATAAAAGAAGCTACAAAATTAGTCTTTACTAATCAGAAAAACAAGGATTTATTTCTTTTTTTTTTTGTGACTTGTAAGGACTCTCAAGTATCCACACCAATATACAGCACTGAAAGAGTCAGGAAAGCAGACAGTATGAAAATGATATGCTAGAAGGCTTTATTTGTGTGATTCAAGATTAACAGGCAGTATTTACAAGATGAAACCCCAGAATATATTTCCATTTCCTTACATAACTTCAACTAATAAGACTGATCTCTTATAATGAGATTTTCTGGACGTTTTGGCTAGCTTACTAATGTTACAGACAAAATGTGTCTCAATCTAGCCCTTGGTAAATGCATTCAGTGTTTTTTTTAAATTAAAACCCACTGTAAAATAATGGTTATTTTCAAAAGATAGAAYACCAATAAAGAACACCTGTCTCAAATAATTTTAAGTTACTTCAATGATGGAAAAAAGAAAAAATGTCRTTAGAAAGAGAGGGAAAAAAAGACGAAAGCTGTTTTAGCAGGTGGGACTGAGAAGTGGTGACATGTTGTAGTACAATTCCAAAGGGCCAGAAGACATAACATAGTGTTGGGTGATGTGGAAGAGAACCAGGGAGCACTGGCTCTGGGAGCCACTGCAATGCTGGATTAGGTGTGAGGTACAACTCTGAAGTATTATGATAGGAAGRAGTGAGGCAGAGGCAGAACCGCTGGTGGAGGACAAGAGAAATAAAAAACCTATCTGTTCTCTGGCACCTTCCCACAGGAGTTTCCTCTCTCACAGCCCACAGACCCAAYACCCTCCACAGGAAAACCCAAAGACCCTCTGATATTTATCCAGATCCCCAGAATTCATAACATTTTCCACCAGCCTGAGTCTGTTTTGCTAAAACTACTGTCTGACATAAATAATCCAAGATACTTTYCTTGACATTTTCTAAACAGATGTTTCTAGGATGACCTTGCTGTACTTCAGGCGTCACATTTCCCGTTTGTACTTTTTGTCTGTATTTTTCCAATACAACTTTTTCACTCTCAAGTCACAAAACAGTAAGTCATGAGCTCCTCCAAAAKCATTATCCAGTTTCACAGAATCACCATCAAAACACATTCTTTCTAGTTGCCTTGGAAAGCAGACATCACTGCTAGACATTAGAATCTGTGGATTGTGAAGTTTTTTTTTGTAAACATACACCTGGATAAATATCCAGTCTCTACTTCTATAAACAATGAAAAAAATAAGAAGTTGTTAATTCACATCAGGTTTTTTTATTGCTTTCTTGTTAATAGCAGTGAAAGTGGGGCAAAAATCTCCATTTAGGTACATTTTTGTAACTTTCTGGCTCTCGTAGCCAGGAAGAAATAAGTTTAAAATATGACAKACAACCATCTGAAAACAAGAGAAAATGGTAATTAGAAGATTGTTTCAGACCAACTTCGTAAAGAAACAAAACAGTGTTTTGGTGTCTGTGCATTACTTAGCACAGGCCTGGCTCCCTCCCCAGTACCTAAGTCAATTTAAATATAAATTGCAATTTCAGCTAAATTTAATTTATTATTTCAGCTTAATTCATGGGGCTTAAAAAGGTCTCAGCTCCTCCAAATTGCTAAACTCAAGTGGTTAAGAGAAGTAAAAGGAAAAACCCCTCAAACCTCAGAMCCTGACCAGTTACAAGTTTCTGTCAATACTTCCATGAATTTTACAGAATCCTCATTACATTTTCACAGGACCAGGCTCTTCACATCCTGTTCTAAAGCACAAGGAAGAATCTTACACAATCCCCACTTTACCTTCCCACAACATATGGAGGAACTGTAAATCATACACACAGATTTATCAGGGAAAYGAGGAGTGGGAAAGATGAGCTGCCCTTAAAGACGTACAGATTTATAGCAATATGGGAAGCGGAAAGACAGTTATCATAAAGAAGGTCCTTAAGGGATAGCAAGGAGCAACAGGGGAAACATGAGTCATGAGCTGCCAGAGAAGTGGATGCTTATGGGGAGCAATGGACAGAGCAAAGTAGCAATAAAGGAAGTTCCAAGTGAAATGTGCTCCTTCCCAAAGGTCAAGACGGATACCCATGCTTAAAATATTTATTAAAAATTAAATTCCCAGCCAATTCAGACAMAGTAACACTGGGGAAAGGATACTCAATGACTGAAAGGATCCATTGATAAACAAYAGATCACAGACCACAGCTCTTTCCTTTTGCTTCTTTACCAACTCTGCTCCTTTATTTTCCTTAGTAGGAACAGATTGCCTTCAAGGTCTCTCTACACAGGCAAGWGACTCAACATGAAAATTCTAAGTATTCAGCTCAAATTATGAAAGGTRGTTTACACTCTGTGAGGCTGGAGTGACCTGCATTGAGCAAAGAATGAATTATGATCCCCAGCACAGTTACTACACTCCTCCTAACTACCATTTCCTATCCCAAAAGTCCAATTCGAAATTACAGCACAGAATTCCTGTACTCCTAAGTAATTCAAGAGTTTTAAAAATTACTTCCAATAGTTTAAAAGTGGCTACTTTTGGGACAAAATACAATGAGCAATAATGGAAACTGAAGACATAGAAAACYAGTTATGTGTGCGTGAATGTCACCTCTCAGAAGATCTAGCAAAATCTCGAGACAAGTTGCATAGGAGTCTCTAAACAAGATTAATTCTCTTAGTACAGCAGCATCCACAGCAAAAGTGAAAGTAGTATGTACAGCAGTAAATACGTCAAAGGATAACCCATAAATTTAATTTTTAATATTAAAAAGATAGTAAAGGAATAAAGGGAGGAAAAAAGGTTACCTATAAAATTGTATCAAAACCCAACAGAACTTCATGTTAGTTATGATAGCTGTTCTACTCAGCCTCCGTGTGAAAAATGCACATGATAACTAAATGTATTCTTCAGAAATTAGTGTCTTACTTAAATTATTTTTCAAGGCTATTTAYGTGTTTCCAAGTTAGGCAGGCTACCTAAACATTTCCAAGCAATTAAAAATAACACAGCATCCTTCCCATTTTGCAGAGAAAACAGAGTTAGATGTCTGCCCCAGTTTTAAGCTTAGTGGAAACAAACAGTACAACCTGCAAAAACAGAAAACAGGACTTACTTCAGACTGGGCAAAATATGTGCTGATGGGTGGAATCCCAAAAAACACATCATGTCCCTACAACTGAGGTATTACAAGGTGTCAACATCAAAGAGCCCAACTCAACCAAGGTGACTCCAGGGTGTGGAGCACAGGAAACTCCACAAGACTCACAAGTGATTGCTGAAACCATGAAGTGCTGTCAAATGTGGCACTATTGCTGCTCCTTCTTTCCCCAGGCCACATTTACAACTGAAAGCGACCAYGGCTACTACACTTTGCAACTCTGTTCCACACCACAAGTGTTATTATCTGTCCACTAGTTRGCTTTTCTTTAGGATGTAGGGAGAGGCCAAGAGCCACTGTGCTTCACAGCTGAGTGCAGGAGAGCYGAGATCAGCACCAAGCTGCACAGGCATACTGACACGTGCAGGGAAGCTCAAGTTCAGGCACCTGGAACATCTCCAGCATGGAACAACCTCCATACAATGGAGRTTCTCAGTRCATTYTGCAGATGTGCAGGAGATASCGTGATTCCAGCCTGAACAAAKCCCCATGGAAGTCCCACCACAGATATTTARAGTGACTCTGAGCCACTCTTAAGAYAGATCCAACAAAGTCATATGGTARCACAACCTAAGAACCCAGCCCATAAAGGATGGAGCCTGGCTGGCTATTCTTACACTCCAATTATCAGTTCTTCCTCTGTCATTTCCAGGGACCCAGGAGTGGGTATTACCAAGATAAACATTGTYATTGAGAGGCTTAAAACCTCATCAACTTCATTCTATATAAACACACTGTGCCTAGCAACTCCATGTGAATTCTCAGGCATATATTGTTTTTGTGGTGTCAGTTTTAGCAGCTCAGAGCTCAAACAACAGCTGAAGGCATGGCACTCCCAGCCATCCAGTCACACTTTTGGCAGYGTTGCAGAAGCCAGGACGACACCAGTTTGCTGTGCAGACGAAGAGATGGACTGACCTGATTGATGGAGTTGGCAGCACAGGATGCCAGGCCGGTTCCGAGGGAGGCAAGAAKGAAACAGGTGAGCTCAAAAGGGACCGGGGCCATGGCAAAGCCAGCAGATGCAGTGCTTACGACCAGAGCTGCAACACAAGTGAGAGCACAGTTCAAAGCATCAACAAGAAACCATCACTGTACATAAGACAAGAGTTAAGGCTTTCAAACCCTTAAAAAACTCTGGTGCAGATTTTTTTTTTTTCACTTTCATGGTATTTTTTTACTTTTTATTACTTTTATGGTTCAAAGTACCTCCAGGAACGAAGTACAATTAATTCTAACACTACATAAAGAAATTAAAAATGAGAAGGAGAATTGCCRGGGATGAAAAATGAAACCTGGAAGCAGCAGCACATTAGCAGAAGATGTGAGGATACAATTTGTGTCTCTGTATTGCCTATTTTATGGATTTGTGACAGGACCAAACTGACCCACACAACAGGCACAGGACAAATATTAGTTMCAGTAACTTACATATCACTACAAAGTCTAACGCAGAAGACAAACAGTAAGAAAAATCCCATGCTGAGATATATGCCTTATATCAAATTATAGCAGGAATTTAAGCAGTGCAGAGTCAAAAAGAGACTTGGGGCACAGAGCTACAGTAATGCCCCTGTACAATCTCTCTTCCTACTGCTCCCATTTGACATGCCCAAGTTGGGTGGAAAATACAATCACATCATCACAGAGACTGAATAACACCTAAGGGCCTCAAAATTTGAGTGGATGAATAAAAATCCATTTCAGTTTTGTCATCCAGAATTATAATTTTAGTACAGCACTGCAAATCACTTCTTTAAAATAAAAATTACCCAAGTTTCAATTTTAATATTRTAATTAGCCAAATAATAAGTGACACAAACCTCTCTTTTGGCAAGAAATAATATGACATGAAAAATTTCTTATACCRTAAAAGTCAGCATACTTATGGAATATCTTGTTCATGACCTTGAACCTTACAATCTGAAATTAATAGTTACTAAACAGAAAGTATTTAAATTATATTCTGCATGTAGTTACATGTTTCACACCTTAACTAGCTTATATCAAAGCATTAAAAATACTCTTATCTTCCAGATTTCTACAAAGTCTCCTTTTTGTCTCAAGTTAAATGACAAATAAATAATCTTTGCTGACTGAAAATACCTGGATTATCTACTGAGCAGCATTACTTCAGACAAAAAACTAAATGGCATGGCAGAGACCTGCTGCCAAGAATGCATATGGAAAGTGCACATTTCWAGAACTGTGCCTGCATAAGAACCTTAGGATTTAATCCTCAAAACACAGTGGAAAAAACCTGCTGCTCATCAGAACTCAGAATTCTCTAAGTATTAAAATCCACCGATTGCTGAAYATTATTATAATAACATGCATACTATTATAATAAACATTAATTATTTAGCCTTGTTACAGATTCACAGGCTACWTCTACAATACACTGGATCTATGACAGAGCTTTACCCTTCTGAGAAGCTGTGAAACAACCACAGATTCTGTGGCCTCASCAGACAAATGAACATGAAAGTACTGATCATTCTGAAAGACTGGATCTTATTTATTATATAAATACAASAGCATCTTAGTTTCCAAACTCTTGGATCCTCCTTAGGAATGCACAAAAAAACCATGAAATGCATTGGTACAACTGAAAAAGTTTGATAATGCACTGAAAACAACAGTGAACAGTAGCGTTTGCATTTCCAAGAGTGATTACATTCATTTTTTTGCCTAATAAATCACACACCCAGTTCTAGACAAGAATTTAATTAAAACTTATCTTAGAGAGCACTTTACACCAATTTATTATGGGAAAACACCAAGTCCTTTACTGAAGAAAGGCAGAGTGCATTGGCAAATAGTCAGTGTAACATTACCACTACCCTGACCCCAAAGAAATTCTAACACTGTACAGCTACAGCACTAATTAAAGTCCCCATTGATTTCTCCTGATTAATTTTAGCCAGTCATTTCAGCATTATGTATTAGSATCTCATTTAAAAAGGATGTAGTACATCTTCTCCCATAACCCATTAAAGSGGGTATTTTTTTCTTTGGGCAGGGTCTGCACACCAGGCATCCCCCACTTTCCTCATCACCCAGATATTCCAATACAACACATTAGCAGTAAATAGGAAAATGCTCCCTTTGGATTGGGATGTTTATTTTCTTTAACTGTGGAAGCAATAATTTACTCTTCCATTTCCTTCATGAAGGAAAAGTATATTTGAGATCACATCAAGGGAATGAGGTCATTGACTCTGTTTGTTTTTTAATCTCTGTTAGTTTAGTGCTTTAGGGGCCAAATTAACTTCATCTTACTGCATAATAGATGGAATCGATCCTTTCAAGATTTCTTGATGAAAGCTAGCATTATACATGCTCTTCTAAAAGAAGCCAAGATTTAAACTTATAACCTCAGCCTAAGCCTTATTTTCAGTCTTTTCAACATTTTTAGCTTTAACAAAAGGGGATATTTGTCTCCCATTTCAACACAGATGAAAAAGAAAATGCTAATGGATTAGTGACAATAAATTAGTGACAAAGAGTAAACAATAATGTTTCTAGCATAAAAATATAGTCCAAAAGCCTAGTGTGTTCTATACAATCCTCTTCCACTTCATCACAACATAATCTACCTTTATMAATCCTTTTTATTTACAGCATGTGAATCATTATGCCATATTTTGTTCATCTACTATTAAAAAGTAGCCAAGCCAAAATAAAAGCACAGAAAGCCAAAGCAAATCAATCCTGCTCTAGAATTCCCTTCTATTCCTGTACTGGTGATATATCAGTACATAAAAAAGGACAAAAGCAAATGCATTTGTACTTTATCTTAAGAAACAATTTCACTGCTTTACTGCAAGTGTTTATATAGTCCTTAAAAGAATGTAGTTWTCCAAATTTTGTTCCAAATTTGTTCAACCCTGAACAAACATTCCTTCCAGCGCTTGCACACTTTGATTTCTGGAAAGCCAACTGTAGCAGCAGTCTTAGTACTACACACCTGACCAACGTGTCCTTTGTAAACTCAGGTTTGTTTGGGCACATCGAAGTTTTGATACAGATTACAGCACACTAATAAAGGCCAAGCTCCTGAAGCAAACTTCAATTTGGGACAACRATTTGAAATAAGTCTTTGCACCAAACCACGCAATATATAAGTGCAATAATACAAACAGAGCAGAWAACCTCTTCTTACCATCTAACAATTTTAAAATGCTTCGCTAAAAGTGAACTGTAATAATGGCTTATTTTTATTTCATCAATTTTTCTTGTAACATGGAAAACAAGTTGCCAGAAAGCTACACTGTTCTTTCGTTTCTTTGATGGGATAATAGTTACTAGTTTAATAATAATGAAAGAAGAACTACTTTGACAAGTATATGAAATATATTTAGAACARAGAGTAAATGTAGACTAGTAATAATAAGAACAATATTTTCCAATAAATCTTCGTCAAAGTTTCTGGCTATATTGAAGTTATCATTTAAAGAATAAATGCCATTATTCCAGAACCAACTGGGAACATACTGGAACTCCACTAAAGCAAATACATTTTTTACTAGAGCAGCTGATGTGAGACTTTTAGCACACAAACACAACACAGGCCCGTTACTTAGTCATTGTTGCAGTTTGGTAACACTCAAGAGCCATGCAAAACTGGATCCTCATCATCTTTTGTCACCAATACACTACAGACAAGGGATGAAGCASGATGTTCACAATCACACCTTAAATCAGTACCAAATACCTCAGGCTTCTGATTTCCAGTTCAGCACATTTGTGCTAGAGGATCACTACTGCRCAGACACAAATCCATACAGAATCAATACACCCAATAAATTCCAGCTGTTTCCTAGCACAYAAGACAAGATTATTTTCTTATAACAAGATATATGAAAAAAAGCATTCTAGTTTAGTCTCCAAAACTGAAGATGCTCAGAAATTATCGTATTTGTCCACCCATGTTGATTCACTTCTCAGGCAGGTGCTATGTAATCACAGATTCAGTTRGGTTGGAAAAGACCTCCAAGATCACCAAGTTCAACCTCTGACTGACTATCRCCTTGTCCATCAGACCAGAGCACTGAGTGCCATGTTCAGTCTTTTCTTAAAGGCATACTGTGCTGTACATCACAAAATCATAGAATCACTGAATGGTTTGGGTTGGAAGAACATTGAAGATTATCTRCTTCCAACACCCTGCCTTGGGAAGGGACACCTTCAACTAGACCAGGTTGCTCCAAGCCCCATCTAGCCCGGYCTTGAACACTTCCAGGGGTRGGACAGCCTGTTCCCATCTAACTCACAGATTGATCTCACAGGAAGACCCACATGCTACATGAGCAAAATGAGGAAATCTTCACAAAATCTAGAGAGATATCTAAGACAATACCCAGCTTTTCATATCACGTTTTCATCAGTTTGCCCAAACTAAAAACTGACTTTGATTTTYCTGTGGTTTTGCCTACAGCTCATCTGAGTTCTCATCTGTAATCCTTGAAGATTACATTATTTTTTCTTGCCACAATTTTTTTACCATAATGAAACWCGGTAAAGACCCCACAACTAAGTAAAGTTGTAAGGCAGGTATGTTTATTTGCGACGTCGGGTACGTGAGAGGTCGCTCTCTTAAGACACGTAGACCTTTGCAGTACAACTTCTTGGTTTATATTGAGTTACTGGACACATATGCATTAAGTTTCACAATATGCCTGCCTATACATATTCATCACCTGTCCCAGCTTCCTATGTTAATGAGTCTGCATGTGTTTGTGCATGCGCCTTGCTCCTTGGCAGTGGTCTTCAGGTGGGCTTTGGTCTACCTCGAGGCAGGACCATCTGACCTTTGGTTCTTGCGGATGCTTCCTGGCTCCTTGGTATCAGCCCAATCCTCTGAGTTGTTTTGTACCGATTTGAGGGTCCAAAGAATAGCAACTCGGTCATGGGTGTCTTCCTTCCTACAATACTTGGCCAACATGATTAATAGTGGGCAAGATAGGCACTACAGTGAAGGCTTAGCCAAGTTAACTTTGCTTAAGCAGTTGATATTAACTCTTTTGCTTCCCCATATCAATCCCCCCTTTTCTATAAGGTTAGTAAATTCTTTTACTAATACAAAAATTCTTCTTCTAAAAGGCTTCTATGATAAGCATCCCTTAATGCTTTTCCATGTGCATTTGATAAAGTAATTAAAACTGATAATTTCCTTATCATCCTACAATTCCACACAAGTAACATTAGGGATAACAAAAGGCTAACTCCTACTAAAATCAATAAAACAATTATGGGGTGACACAATGTATTCAGAAGACCAGCTGCAGTAGGGTTTAACTTCTAAACTTGAAGCTAAATTTAAGAAGATGAGAAACCTGAAATTCTTAATGTGTGTGCATTATAAATCAATGCAGTTTACATGAAGAAGGAGGGTATGGAAACAGCAAAACTCATTTCCTTTCCAAGGTGAAGTACAGTTCATACTACAAACAAAAAAGCTCTTTCCATTAGCAGCAGGAAAAGAACAGAGCATAAGGAAGTCCCATTTTAGCATAATGCAGAGTTTGTTTTGTTATTTTATACTCTAAAAAGTACAAATAAAGAGTCTGCCAAAAAAAMCACACAGGATATGAGATCCATCAGAACTTCATGGACGAAAGGAACTGAGTTGTAGGGTATGACATTTGCAAGTTAAAAACTAACCTCAGAGAATTTATTCTTCTTTCAAAAAATTAAAATCGAAGAAGTACACCACCATTCTCTATAGAATATATAATTTGTCTAAATGATTACGAGAGATGGAAAAAATTTTCCTTGCTCCAGACATTACACCCAGTATTATTCCTCTCATCTCCTACACTAACCCGTAACAAAGAAGGACCAAGGACAGAACTCCCCTCCTACAAAGTCCTCTTCATCCAGCTTACTCTTTGACACTTTTCACTTCCAAAAAATCTGCACATCAAATACACAAAGATCACAAGAAGAAAAGAGGTTAAGCTTTTTTCTGCATCTCTCTATAGCTGCTCAATGAGTAAAGTTTACCACATTTACCTTGGAACTCTCAAGAACTCTTCCAGGCTCAGCAGACACAGAGATATGCTAAAATCACAGCCCCTTCCCCAACAAAGTTGCAAGCTGGATTAAAAATTGTACAGCTGTTCAGAAATTAGCAGTTAAGCTTACATGTCAAAAGGCACTTTCATACAAACAACAGTCCTGAAGAGAATGAAATTCCTAAATTTTTGCCTTCTACACCCTATTTTAAATCCAGACTGGTGCTTGCCTAGCTAAAAAAGCCTACCAGGAACCGTTGAAGGGTTTTGCAGCAACTCCGAGGCTACACAAAACAGTATCACATGAAATTKTTTTCTCTTGAAAATGACACTCTTGCATCTTGCTGCAGTTGTTGAAACTCCCATTTAGAGCAGTAACACTGAGATGTGGTACAAGCACYGAGCTTACCTATCAACAAATATAAAAAAAAAAATTCAAGTGCTTAAAACAATAGTCAATTTTCTGTTTCTCTGGTCCTTTAATCATGCCATTTTAAGTTTTCATTTCTGGACCTAGTGAGATTTTTAATTTAGCTCTACTTCAACAGCTAGCACAGCATTCCATTTCACATAAGAGAGACTTCAATAAAATCACCTCATTGAAAATATGCCAGAAGAGCTACTGTTCATACAGCACTTCCAAGATGCCCATGGAGAGCCCAACAGAAATAAATTATTATTAAACCTGAACAGCATGGGGGAGAAAAAGGCAAGACATGTATCATGCAGGAAGAAAGATGAGGCAATTAATTCAGGTTGTATGTACCACAGAGCTGCTGCAAATAATCCTCATAATTGCTGAAGGTGCTACTAAGAGCTTCACATAACCTGAATTTGAAATTTCCACGGCTAATATGCTAAAGTGACATAGTAAAGTATGAAAAGACATGCTTTCATCTCATCAAACTCTTTACCAGCACAAAATAAATGCCCTCAGGCTTTCTTAAAACAATAAGAAAATTAGGATGTGCAAAGAAGATCAGTTGTGCAAGTCCAAAGCATGAGGTATCTCATTAACACTGAAATGTAAATTAAATAATTATACACTCTATGTGGTAAGCACAATTTTTCCACAAATAATGAAATCTTACACATTGCAAGACAAGAAAGTTTTAAAAAGTAAACTGAATTTAGGGCATTCACTATAACAAATTTTTAAGGCAAAGAGCATGTTATCAGGAGTTCATTTCACCCACTGAAGAGCACCCAGGCATGGACTTAGGTAATTACATTTCTGTTCTTGGACTTCATATCATTGACAAGATGCAAAGCTTTGGTCGGATCATTAGAGCTTCCTTAGAAATAAAAGTATATATATCACTATCTATTGGCAAAGGAGTAACCTATAGTTGTTGTAACTTATAGTTATTATTATTRAAGTTGTAATTACTAGAACAAGACAAAACATAGTTAAGGCTGCAAGGCAATTGCTTAACAAATTGCTGATTTGAAGAGATAACACTGTAACTAACTGAAAATTAAATAATATCTTCTTTTATAAAATTCAATTGGTCAGACTCAAACATTTTCCATTCTAATATAGGAAACTATTTGGATTATCTTATGCTGAGACTTCTAGTGCTAGTTTCATAACCAGCAGTACTGCAATGCAAGTACTGGTAACACTGGTAAACTTAAGCAAGGCAACTTAAGATACCAAACACATTATTTACAAATTCATTTCCTTATCCAGTTTCACTGCAGTTTGTGTACTAATGCTTCCTTATTTCCCAAAAACTAGCTGACAACAGGACACAAGYTTCTCTCATTGCTTTTAAACAAATGTAATGGAAAAACTATTAAGTGTTTCCATAAAACAATTTTCCCAGCGCATTCTTGATGGAATTGATCCAACTTAGCATCAGGAAAGTGGGAATTATCACACACAAACCCAAACCGTACAGTAAGATCCTAAAGAATTCTGCCATCAAGCAGAATGCAGAGAAGTTAGAAACAATGACCAGTTATACCTGTAAGCTTGATTTTGGATAAGCGTGCCAAAATTCCTGGCAAATCATCCAGCCGTAGCTTCATTTCTTTCCACTGTCTGTCTTCTTTGGATTCTGTTCCCACTRGGGTGAGTGAGTCTTCAGTTTCAGCAGCTGATTTCGTTTCTCTCAATTCATTTCTGCTTGATGTCTCAGACCACGACTGATGAACGGGTGAAATTGGGCTAATTTTGCACACAACCTTTCTKTCCTGATCCAATTGCTGAAGCTCGTGAAAAGGAGACACAGTTGAATTGGACTTGGGTTTGGCTTGTTGGCTGAGGTCTTTGTTGTACTGTGTTACATACTAAATACAATGAGAAATATTAAAACAAATAGTTAAAGATATATCTGTCTATTTCACTTTATTAACACTACCAATATTATTGTTATTTCATTCTTGTTAAGAGAATTACTTCTATGACACAATTGAGTTAGTCTGAATTTTAGACACTTATTTCACAAGCAGAAAGGCTTCTGAAGTTGGCCTAGATATTRAAAAAGCAGCTTTACAACTTACAACTGAATCAGTAATGTTTATTTAAGCTTGGAGAATTGCTTCTGAACAAATTTACTTCCTCCCCCAAAGCTACAMAAGCAAACTCTTCGCTCCTTTTTGAAACCACCAGGCAATACAACTTGACATAAAACTAATCAATTCACAGAATCATGAAGGCTTGTATGACCTCCAAGATCACCAAGTCAAACCTTTGACCAAACAAAATTCACCTTTAAACAGAGAAATCTGTTATAAATGCCCATACAGCCTCAGTTTCCAAAAATATATACTAAAATATATACTAAACTGGTGTATTTTTAAGAAATGAAAAATTTTAAAACATGTCCAAAAATACAATCTACCACCTATGATATAAAATCATCTCCCATGTTAGTCTATTACTATTTATGCCACACTTCATGTTAATAAACTAGACAGCAAATTTCAAAGGAACATATACTGAACAACAAATTAGGAGACAGTTGTCTGCTCTTTTAAAGCTCTCAGAATAAACACAGAGTAAGAAAAATGGCATTTAGAGTCTCTTTCACATTTTCTTCCTCAAAATATTCTATATATTTCAAGCACCAGAGGAATAAAAAAACAGAACTTTCAAACAATCCTGATTTCAAGTATACAGTAATAATTACAATGAGGAAGAGTGACCTGCAACGGAGTTAGCAATGTGAATACATATCAAATCAGCAGCACAATTAAAAAAAAAWTACTATCATCCATTTAAATGGGATACAACTGGTCAAAGAAGAGAATGCAGTTTCAAGGTTTGAATGATAACTGCAGCTCTTTTAATATCTAAAACTAACAGTGCACTGCAAATGTAACCCATTAACTTAACAAGCTCAGGAATTTTGACTCAAACTGATTGACCCAGAGCACACCACCTCCACAGGGAGTTCAGTCTACCATTTGAACTACTGCTAGCCAAGAAGTGACTTTCTTATTAGCATTTTTGTAAACAATGATTTTTAAATAATTTTATGTCATGTTTCTCAACAGGAGGTGAGTGCCTTGTTTCAAGGGCACAGAAGCCTCCCATCAAACAGAGGAGACTGCTGCATAAGACACCGTCCTTGTTACAACAGATTTCCTTCAGCCTCAGATATTTTAGGATACCAAGTRCTTTAATCCTGACTAAGGGAAAAATGGGAAAAATGGAGACGTTTAGAATTGCCCAAGCTTAGCTGATAAGAAAAATATTACCTTTATCAACTAATTTCCATTTTGACTTATCACATGGGATGAACGAAAATACAGGACAAATACACTCCTTGACTTACCATTCGTTTGAGAAAGTTAAAGTACTGAAATGTAATCAACCTGTCGCCTACACGGCAAAGGTGCACACAAGGGCACCGTATCTGCTGTATGCCAGTGTTCCTCAGACGCAAAGCAAATAATCCTGTTTAAAAGAAAACAAGAAAAAAAGATAACATTAGATTCCAGTTTCTTCTCTGCCACTGAGTTTGCTTCTTACCAAGACTACAGTGTCTGTTGTCAGATGTGACACAGGACACTCCATCATATGGGAACCAGGGTCAGGTGAGGGAAAATGTTTGCTGCTCCAGGTGAAAGACCTGATAGTGCGGAATCATGGGATCATTAAAAATAGAAAAAACGTTTAATATCAAGTCCAAATATTAACCTGGTACTGCCAGGTCCACYACTCAACCATGTTCCTAAGTACTACATCCATGTTTTTTGAACACTTCCAGGGACGGTGATTCCATCACTGCCCTGGGCACCTTGTGCCAGTGCTTGATCACCCCTCCATTGAGAAAATTTTCCTTAATACCAAATCTAAACCTCCCCTGGCACAGCTTGTGGCTGTTTCCTCTTGCCCTGTCCCTTGTTACCTGGGARCACAGCCTAAACCCCACCTGGCTGCAGCCTCCTGTCAGGGAATTGTGGAGAACAAGAAGTTCCCCCGAGCCTCCTTTTCTCCAGGCGGCTTGAGGCTCCCCCAGCTTCTTCAGCTGCTTCTGGTGCTCCAGACCCTTCCCCAGCTCTATTCCCTTCCCTGGACATATTCCAACCCCTCCCTGTCTTTCTTAACCCAAGGAGCCCAAAACTGAACTATAAGCATGTCCTAATAATTTTGGCTTTTCTTCCAAATTTCTGAGCTCGAGAAGACACGTTTYCACAGAATAYCCTGAGCTGGAAGGGACGCTCTAGGATCATCGAGTCCAACTCCCAGCCATTCACAGGACACCCCAACAATCCCATCCCGTGCCTGAGAGAGTTGTCCAAACGCTGCGTGAGCTCCGGCAGCCTTGGTGCTGCAGTATCGTAGAACAGGATTGCCCCACTTCTATACACACTATCGACAACATTATCTTGTCAAAGAAGCACTGAGAGGAAGCAGCTACCACAGCACAGCGCCAAAATCAAACACACGTAGAGGACACACAGCGCAATGGGGCACACAGGGATGCCCCACATGTGTGTGTATAGAGGACACACACACACATGGCCGAGCAGGCTCCGAGGAGCGCTCCACGGGGCAGCCCCGGGCCGCCCGGCCCTGCCCGCACACCCGGCCCCCTCGTTCCCGTTTCCGCGGTACCTGCGAGCGCCCGGGGCGGGCGGCAGCGMCGGGCAGCACTCATGGCCGCGGCCGCTACACCGCTTTCCCCTCAGCKCCCGGGCGCCGCCATCTTCCCAGCGCGACCTCTGAACGTGTTCCGGGTCGGCGCCGCGCGGGGGCGGAGCGGCCATTCCGGGGCTGTGCTGACGTGAGGGGTGGCCCTGCCCCGGGCTGGTGAGAGTTTTACATACCGCAGTTTGAAATTCTCCGGGCTAGTATATAGAAGCGACCTAGTAAAATGTCAAAAGACATGTTTTTCGCCTCTCTACCATTACAAAATAAACCACCTAAAACTGCATAATCACAGAATTGTTTGGGTTGGAAGGGACCTCTGCAGATTACCGGGTCCAACCTCCCTGCCAAGGCAGGAATCACCCAGTGCTGGTGACACAGGGACACATCCAGGTGGGTTTGGAATGTCTCCAGAGAGGGAGACTCCAYGCCCTCCCTGGGCAGCTGTTCCAGGGCTCTGGTCGCCGTCCATGGAAAGAAATTCTTCCGCATATTAAGGTGGAATTTCATGTGTTTTAGTTCATGGCCATTGCTCCGTGTCCTGTCACTAAGCACCACTGCCTTAGTCTAGCACCATCCTCTTGGCACCCTTGGAGATATTTATATGCATTAATGACCTCCCCTCCAGGCTTTCTCCTAATTAAACAGGCTTAGCTCCCACAGTCTCTCCTCATATGAAGATGCTCCAGACATCTCATCATCTTTGTGGCCYCTACTGGACCCTCTCCAGTCACTCCTCTTTATTCTACTGAGGAGCTCAGAACTGGACACAGCATGCCAGATAGTGAGGAAGAAAATTTGGATGCACAAACAAGATCAGTTGTGCAAATCCGAAACATGAAATGTCTCATCCACACTGAGATGAAAATGTAAATGACCATTTTACACTCTATGTGGTCAGCACAGCTTTTCCTTGGAGAAACAAACAATGAAACAAAAAGTTTCAAAAACTAAGCTGAGTTTATGAATTTTATWATAAAAATTGTTACAGCAAAGAACAATAGTTCTTGGGCAGAGGTGTGGGTGAGATTAATCCTGCCAAGCAAGTGCCAGAGCAGTTTCCCAGCCAGCGAACCAATCAGTGACCCCAGAGTGAAGAACCACAGTGTAATTTTTKGGGTACAGGAACAGTGGACAGCATTCACGTGGGAGTTAGGGCCAGACAGGAGACCTTGTCACCTTTCTCATGAGGAAGAACCCTGACGTGGAGCATCCTCACAGCCTTTGCCAGGCACTGGGACTGCCAGGCACTGGGACTGTTCCCTCTGCAGCATTCCTGGACTCATCCCGGGGAGCTGCTGTGACCAGGATGTGGTGTCTGACACAGCAAGAGGGTGGCCAAGAGTGCATGGGGACATCATAAAATGCTTTTAAAACAGCCAAGAGATTGTTAATAAAATATGAATCAATATATAAATCAATCTATAATTCTGTGGAGACTCATTCCCAAAATTACCTGAGCTTTAAAGAGCCAAATGCTTGGTTAAAAAAAAAAAAAAAAAAAAAAAAAAAAAAAAAAAAAAAAAAAACCAACAAACTAAAAAAAGAACTAAAAAAAAATCTGGATCTATTTTCTAAAGTAATTTTGGAAATGAAAAGTTTGATTTTTATACTCCTTGGGTAAAAATATGCATTTAGGGGATCACATTGAAGAGCTGATGCAGCTGTCTCCTCATCMTGCCCTCATACACATTCTGGGAGTGGCTCAATCCTTTGCTAAGCTGATTCAGCTTACCGACCTGAATGGGAGAAATTGCTGATTTTACTGGTTATAGTGTTTTAACTGGCTCTGCACAGGTTGAACAGGCCCTGCAACTGATAGGTTGATAGCTGAAGCAGGGCACAAATGGACCAGTTGGCTGAAAGCTGAGAAAGGSCCTTGGACCAGTGCCTGAACAAAAATGGAAGGGAATGGTTAGGACTGCTCCATCTGTAAGGTATAATTGCACCCCCAGGCATCTTTTAAATGTTTTCTCCTAAGAGTTTAAGTTCAGGAGATACAGGCTATAAGTCTCTTAAATGCTTTTGAAAGTCATTCTCAATATTTTATCATGGAAATCTTCTCCAGAACCATCTTCTTTCCAGGCTTTCATTTCTTCATGGTGTTTAAATACATGCAAAAGTCATCTTAAATCATTATTAGGAAGATAAAATGAAAACACTCACTCTAATTTACCGAGAACAGCCTACTTCAAAGCATTTATTTCCACTCTCCTTCTATTTGGGGAGCTGGGGAGAAATTAAGACTTCACGTTTCTTACAGTTAATATCTGGGTTTATTCCAAGTTCTCATATCATATAGCATATATCACTTGGCAGTTCATGTTTGCATCTTTACTTTTTGGCGTTTTTCTGGCCCTCAAATTTACACCTGCAAAAATAAAACAAACATCACGAAGAAAACACACAGCAGTTGCATAGAGGGCCAGAGCGGTTGGTTGGTTGGTTGGTTGGTTGGTTGGTTGGTTGGTTGGTTGGTTGGTTTTAGGGCATTTTGGGTCAGAAAGGAAAAGGTTGAGGTAGTCGAATGTTCAGTGTCAGGGCTGAGATTTAAGGCCTTTCACTTGGGCAATATATTTCACCCATGGAGAGAGGGGATATAACACTACTTTTCTAATTTAAGAGAGTGTTATCTGTGGAGCTTGAGACAGAGAAATAGCTCCTTGTGAAACAATRAAGGTGATTTAGGGCACACAAAATGTCGCATACCCATTTGGATTGAGCCACTAAAGCTGCTTCTAGAGAGAAAAAAAAATAATCTTAGGATTTTTAGTGGATGTGAGTATCCAAATGTCAGAGTTGTACTTTAGTTCGAAAGGGCTCCACAGGCTTTGGGTCTCATTATCAAAGGTTGGGCTCTGCACAGCATTGATTCCACAGGAGCTGGCCCCACGAAATTCTCTAGAAATCATCAGGAATTACAGAGTACACAAGGAGAGCACAGCCCTTCCAGAGAATTCCCAGCATCCTCTGCACTCAGCTTCCACCATCTAAMTCATAAAAACCCAGTACCTATGTCACAGGACGAGGGACAGGACGAGGGGGAGGGTTGTAGGACACCATTTATTGTCACAGGGCTCCAAGATCACCATTGTGGGTCAGAACATCTCCTGAAGCATCTGTTTTTTTTTTTGTTTTTTTTTTTTTTTTTTTTTTTTTTTTTGCTAGTTGCCAAGATTGGCAGTTGCTCTGCATCTATGGTGCTTCCCCTGGCTACAAACTTCTCACTTGTAAGTTTGTTCTTAGGGTGATACAAGGGTCATTTAACCACACGACTGCCATTAATGTTAATTATAGAGCACATATTAACAGCTTTATACAATCCTTTTTTCTATTAGCACTATCATAAATCTGATTGGTGGGGCTTAATTACATCTCAGCAGCAGAATGCAATGATTTGATACACGAAAGGATAAATTCGTGATGACAGCAAACTTATTATGCTTTAATTTCAAAATTTTATTCGTAACACCAACAAGGTTCCTTTAAGATGGATTTGTTGTCAGAAAATGGTTTAAAGACCGACTGTAAAAATATTTTATATTTTCTTCCTAGTATGTGGCATTGATGTTAGAGCTCCACAGAGMCTTGATGTACTTTCAGATAGGGAACTCTGAAAGCCAAGTGCAAAATAAGTAAGRTGGCATTCAGCTGTTATTGTGGTAACTTTTGCAGACCATTTCAGAAGTGGTGACTGGTGTTTAGTTAAGTAATCCACCATGGGAGAAGCTGGAGCTTGGAGCAATTGGTTGGTGAATCCCAACTATATTTGATTTTGGGGGCTCAGGTTGTAAAGTAAGAAATGGTGTCCAAAGTGAAGGGCACTTGGACATATTGGAAACACTGAAATAACAGATAGAAAGAGCTAAGGAAGTATTAAAGGCCAGGTCAGACTCTAATAAYAGAAAGCTGATTGACTGCTTAAGGCATCTAGATTGAGCCAACGATCTCTGCTCAACACCTCAGTTAGAGGTGACATCTCTGAGGTCACCTGAGATCTGCTGACATCTCCTAGAATCAGGGCTTCTGTTGGCTGAGACACTCCYGGTGATCCTGATGACCAGTTAAGTAGTTCCTTGAGTCACTTGTAATGCCGTGGATTTGGGGTTTTCTGGAAATTCCTACAATTCACCCTTATAATGCACTGGCTTTTATATCAATCCAATATTGAAACATAGRAAGTGTCCAAGGCCAGGTTGGACAGGGCTTGGAGCAATCTGGTTTAGTGGAAGATGTCTCTGCCCATGGCAGGGGSTGAAATGAGATGAGYTTTAAGGTCCCTTCCAACCCAAACCWTCCTGTGATTCTGTGAATTGAATATAATTTGGTCTTCAATAAAGAAGCATCACAACCAAGAGCAACWAACAAGAGCTTGAAACATGCCACTCCCATGCTATTAAAGACTTGCCTTCAGGAAATAATTCTGAGTGGCAATTAACAGGTTAAAAAAAAAAAAACAAGGAAACATCAAAAACTTCAAAACCCCCCAGTGTTCTGGAGTAGTTAAACCCTCCAAGAAACTGTGAAATAGTATTCCTGGTAGATCAATGCYCAGTAGCCATTCTGTAGTGGTGTGCCAGACTGATTTCTTTACCAAAGATTTCAAATATACTATAGGAAATCAGCAGARGCTAAAAACTGCTGCCGTTCTGAGCTGTCCACGGTAGCCTTGCGCTGACCCTGGGAGAATGTAATTTTTGACAAGTCCTGTGTTTCTTGTTCACCACTTGCAATGGACTACAAGCTATAATCACTCAGTTCAARTGAAAAACTTCTGGCCTTTCCTTAGGTAGAGCTTTCCTGAGTAAAGTGAGCTGCAATCAGATTTGGAGTTGAGGTAAAATCTGGTRCAAAAGTTGTTGAGGGGAGTAAACAGCAAGGTGGTTGGGGATGAACCTTACTGAAGATAGCATGCAGGGAATCACTGCTAATAAATGACAAAATCTTTCTCATAGCGGCAGCAACCAGCCATACAGATCCAGCAAGGAGCTACTTAACCCACTGCAATCCCCATCACATCAGCCAGCCMTATTTAACTCACCCTTACATTGCTGGTTCAGACAAGAAAGCATACYTTTTGTCC